CTTTTGGATCCCATTTCAAGGCAGCACAGGCAACCAGTTGGCGTTGTGACCCACAGTTGAAGGCAGCATGGAGCCAATTACAGGGACTGTGTTTTAACAACCCAGTAAGGAATATGTGAAGGAGACAGCCCTGGCCTATGAATGACCAACGGGTTTCTTTCCTTACATGAAACAAGAATATACAAGAGAAGGGACACCTCAATGGTGGTGCCACAAGTAGCCAGGAAGCACCTGCCACTGGCTGCTACCTCATCACAGGAAGAAGAAGATTATTGTATTTTCATAGGCATGTCAAAATATGAACATTGTTTCCTTTCTGTTTTGTTTGTTGTGTATGCTGGAAAAAGAAATAATGAGTGGCATGTAGCTTAGATCAGTGGTTCTTAACGTGGGCGATAATGCCCCCCAAGGGGCGATTTCATTTTTCAGGGGGGCGGTACAACGATAACAAAGGTTAAGAACCACTGGCTTAGATCACTGGTTCTTAACCTTGGGTTACTCAGGAGTTTTGGACTGCAACTCCCAGAAGCCTTCACCATCAGCTCTGCTGGCTGAGGTTTCTGGGAGTTGCAGTTCAAAAACACCTGAGTAACAAAGGTTAAGAACCACTGGCTTAGATCACTGGTTCTTAACCTTGGGTTACTCAGGAGTTTTGGACTGCAACTCCCAGAAGCCTTCACCATCAGCTCTGCTGGCTGAGGTTTCTGGGAGTTGCAGTTCAAAAACACCTGAGTAACAAAGGTTAAGAACCACTGGCTTAGATCACTGGTTCTTAACCTTGGGTTACTCAGGAGTTTTGGACTGCAACTCCCAGAAGCCTTCACCATCAGCTCTGCTGGCTGAGGTTTCTGGGAGTTGCAGTTCAAAAACACCTGAGTAACAAAGGTTAAGAACCACTGGCTTAGATCACTGGTTCTTAACCTTGGGTTACTCAGGAGTTTTGGACTGCAACTCCCAGAAGCCTTCACCATCAGCTCTGCTGGCTGAGGTTTCTGGGAGTTGCAGTTCAAAAACACCTGAGTAACAAAGGTTAAGAACCACTGGCTTAGATGACTGACAGAGAGGTGATTTTTCTTAAAACTATAAACAAAGAAGCCAAGTGGAGGGATCTAGTCACTATCTGGTGTGAAAAATACACCAACAGGGATTTGACAGAAGGATTTTCTAGATGTGAAAGCAGCAGGGGTAGAAGGGGAGAATTTAGCAGGATGCCGAAATGGAGGACTAATGCATTAATGCTACAAGACTAACATCCAGATTTTTCAGGATGGAAGTGAGTTTTCGTGAACACACTCTTTAATTAAGCTTTTTAAGGTCAGTTCATAAATTGACAACCTGAAAAGGAAAGCCAATTCCACTACTTCTGCTTGCATGTTATTCGAAAGTACAAAACACAGTATTTGGCTGGTGTAGAAGCAAGCAAAGACCTTTCTCTTCAGGAAAGCTTTCCCTTAGTGACTAACTGCCTGAATGGGTTCCTTTAAATGGACTACAGTATAGTACTTTACTGCTTATAATGTGTTTGTACTGTACTTTACCCCTTAGAATGTGTTTTTAGTTTACTGTTTTTTAGTGTGGCATGTGTTTGATCTTTCAGTATTGTATACTCACTGTTTTTAGCTTTTAATCTTGTGTTTTAATGCTGTAAGCCACCTAGGGTCCTTTTTTAAGGAGAAAGGTGGGGTTAAAAGATTTTAAATAAATAAATAAATTGAATAATTGCTGGACAGGCATATGTTCAGCAGATACAGCTTTGCCAACATGAAGAATCAACAAATGGAAAAGAGGTTATCAGTTATATTTCTGGAAACCATTAACGTAAATAGCTGTTTCACATAATACTGGGGAAATTGATCAACGACTGTTCCTGTTTCAGTCTGGCCTCGCTTAAGCTGGTTGCATACTCTTTCCCTCCAGGCACAGTTTGTGGTATCTGTCTTCTGATTTCCACATTTCGGTTTGTGGTTAGTGACTGAATCAAAACTTCATCTGCAGTTTCAATCTTTGTCTTCTCTATGCAATCTGTTTTTAACAGTATGTATACCTACACTGCTACAGAGCTACTGCAGGAGCAACTGTGTCTACTGTGGTGCAAATACTCCCCCTATTGTGGTAAAGTCAGAGCTCTCAGGGGACAAAGCTGTGGAACAGTTTGCTTATGAAGGACAGTTATAGCATTGCCCAACCCCTGGTCCCCTAGTTTCTGTGCTCCCTCTAAGCTTAGTTGTAATGTTTACGCTAGCACATTGTCTCTCTCTCACACACACACTCACACACTACACACAAATGTGGATTAACAGACAGCTCTCTGAATGTTTGGATTCTGCTTGAGGGCATGACTATGGGAACAGTCACAATGAGAACCAGTAGTTCTGAATTTATTCTTGCACCACTACATACTCCTGTGAGAACACCCTGGACATTTTAACATGGAAATACATGACTTTGCATGCTGGAATGGTCACTCCTCACCCTCCATCCTTAGACTTAGTGTAACATAGCAGATTGACAGTGGCATTTGATGTCCATTGTGGCTGATGGGTGGAGCCATCATTTTAATTATTCACATTGATACAGAGAGAGAGGGAAAGGGGCAAGCATTCACACATACAGCAAGGCCCTCTGTTTCTACTGCAGCAAGAGTGAGAGGGCTGGGAGTACTCTGGGTCTGAGACAGGCCAACACTCTGCTTGTCCTAATGGGCAATTGCTCACTAGAGAGAAATGGGAGACTTGCTCCCAGGAAATCTCTGGTCTTAATAGAATAACAAGTAATAATAATATTAATATTGTTGAGCTGGAAGGGACCCTATGGATTATCGAGTCCAGTCCCTATCAAGGAGGGACAGTGGAGAATTGAACTCCCAACCTCTTCATTCCCCAGCCAAGACATGAAACACAGGTGCTAATCTTAGGCCACTGTTCCTTATTCCTTAGATTAACTGCTCCCGTGCACAGTTTATGGAATACAAACAACTTTTTTCATGGTCCTCAGCTTCCTGAGGAAAGAGTAAGAGAAAAGTGTAATTAAAAGAACAGATACATGCAAACGGCATTTACAGAACTTGTAGAGGCACTGCAGGAAGTGCCCTTCCAATCAATAATTACAGTAGTGCCATATTAAATCAGATTTAGCTGACCCCTCTAGATTCAGCAATATAGTCTATCAGTAGTGGCATTAGAGCAGGGATGGGGAACCTCATCATTAAGTCGGTGATGAAGCTGGATAGGAGCTGTAGTCCAAAAACATCTGGAGAACCACACATTCCCCAGCCCGTACATTAGAGCATGGCTATTGCTGCAATGCAGACAGCAATGAGAGGCAGGCAGTACAGATGACATTTATGTTGTTGTTAAAATGAAGGATAGAAATAAAGATGAAACACAACAACCAAATTACAAGTACAGGACAGTCAGTTCTTAAGTGTTCGAAACTGTCACAAAGCACTTCAATTTGACAAACTACAGATTGACTGATGCTTATTGGACAGGTCATTGTTAGAATATGAAGGAGCTTGTTTGTGTCAATAAATCCTTCCTAAGTTAACAAGAAGTGCCAGAGGAATGTACTATGTCAATTATTATTGGACCACTGGTTAAATAGGAATAAAATGTATTAAGTTTTACATGTATTGAGGACTGTTAGAATCACGCCCAAAATCGAAAAGGGGGGGGCATACCCCCCTCTCCAGTCCTTACCTGCTAATTGCTACCAGGACCCTTCATGTGCCATAAGAAGCACAAAGCTTATTTACAGTATATTATGAATAATGGGAGACTCAGTTTGCAGCCACATACTAGCCCTTCTCACAGCTTCCAACCTAAGAGATCAGCAACTGGCAGTTTGTAGGGACACATGCAGTTAAATGTAAAAATTAACTTTAAAAATTAACATTCTGCCCGCCGCTAATCAGAAACCTTTCCAAGCCTCAGAAAGCTCTTCTGTTATAAAATACTTTACTGTAGCCATAAGAAGCACAAAGCTTATTTACAGTATATTATGAATAATGGGAGACTCAGTTTGCAGCCACATACTAGCCCTTCTCACAGCTTCCAACCTAAGAGATCAGCAACTGGCAGTTTGTAGGGACACATGCAGTTAAATGTAAAAATTAACTTAAAAAATTAACATTCTGCCCGCCGCTAATCAGGAACCTTTCCAAGTCTCAGAAAGCTCTTCTGTTATAAAATACTGTACTGTAGAGCGAACCGGCCTCTTGTCCCGCCTCCTCACCTCTTTCGTCCAATGGGCAGCGCCAAGCCGCCAAACGGCAACCAATGGCAGACCCAGCCTGGTGGCAAAGCTGTGCCTCACCGGACTGAGCCCAGCGGCCACTTCGTTGGTCGGCCGCGACGTGCTCTGTAATTAAGACCGTATTATTAGAAGAGGCTCGTTCTTGCCGCTGGGTTTCTCTGCGGAAGGGACGTGCTCGACGCTGCTGACAAAAAACGGTTAAGACCTACTGACTACTAGGACGGGTCTGTAAAGTTACCGTTCCAGAACCAGGCTACGGTACATGCTGGTCAAAAAAAAATTGTGACTGAACTTCATGAGACTTAATTTGAAGCCAACGAGTATAAGATTATAAGTGTTGCGGCGTTTGTAAAAAGAAATTAGTTCTTACTAAACAAAAACCATTGAGCGGGAACGCCGGGCACATAAATGCGCATGTGTGACCTATTCCTATTTTATTGCTCTTTGTCCACGGGCTACGTCAGCGTTAAAGAAGTCGCTAAGCGACCCTATTTTCTCCTCCCGTCCTTGAACAAGAGACTGGTATTGCGCATGAGCAGAATCAAGACGTTCAGGCGGTCTCTTCCCCTCCCCTCCCCTCCCCTTTTGCGGGCGCGATAGAAGCCGCAAGCGGCCATTTTAGAATCCCTCGCAGAAGAGCCACGTTTGTTCCCGTTCGAGCTGTCCGGTGTCACGTGGCGGGGGAGCGCAGGGCGCCGGCGCTCATTGGCCCTTGGCCCTTCCCGACGTCCCTCTCGCGGGAAGGGGGGACTTAACAGCCGGGGTTGGTCTTTCCGCCTTTCCTCTCACGGTTTGGCCATGGCCGGGGACGGGTTGGGGCTGCGGTGGTTGCTGTCTGCGGTGTTGTTGCTGAGTGGGGTGCGAGGTATGGAGGCTTTGCATCGCTTCTTTTTTGTTGCTGTTGTTGTTACATGCTCTCAAGTTGCCTCTGAGTTATGGCGACCCTATGAATGAGCGATCTCCAAAATATCCTACCCTCAACAGCCTTGTTCAGCTCAGGCAAACTCAAGGTTGTGGTTTCCTTTAAGGAGTCAGACCATCACGGAACTGGCCTTTTCTTGATGCCTTCAGCCTTTCTCAGAATTGTTTTTACCCCCCCCCCCCAAGGAGGCTTGCTTTCTTATGATCTGCCCCAAGGTATGAAAGTGTCAGCATTTTTTGCTTCCAGAAGTAGGCTTCAGACTTTATTTGTTCTAGGATCCACTTGTATGCATTTCCGGCAATCCAGAAAGCTGTCCTCCAGTACTATATTTCAAACAAATCCTTTTCTCCCCTTGTCAGCTTTCTGTGCTGTCCAGTTTTCACACCCATACATGACGATTGGAAATACAAGAGTGTGGATGATCTTGATCTTCATTTCCAGTGACACAACCTTATACTTGATGATCTTTTCTAATTCCTTCATTGCTGCCCTTCCAAGACTCAATCTTCTTCTGATTTGGCATCATTCTCCATTTGGATTGATGATTGAACCAAGGTACACAACATCCTTAACAATTTCAATTTCTTTATTGTCCACATTATAGTTACTGTGTCATGATATTTGTCTCCTTAATATTCAGCAGCAGTCTTGCTTTGGCACTTTCTTCTTTCACTTTCATCTGAAGTCATTTCATGTTATTGCTACTTCCTGCCATTAAGATTGTATCATCTGCATATCTTAAGTTATTGATGTTTCTTCCTCCAATTTTCAGTCCTCCATCTGAATCCTGTCTAGCTTTCCATATGGCATGTCTGCACACAGATAGGATACAATGCACCTTTATCTGACACCTTTGATTATAGGAAACCATTTTGTCTCCATATTCTGTCGTAGCCATAACATTTTGTCCATAATACAGGTTATGAATCGGGACAATTAAGTACTGAGGCACACCCATTTTTTAAAAGAAATGCCCATAGTTTCTCATGATGTACACAGTCAAAGGCTTTGCTATATTCTGTAAAGCATAGACTGACTTCTGTAGTTGTTCTTGTAGCCTATCTTCCCCCTGCTTCTATTCTGGGATTGTCTCTGTTCAGGGCTTCATATGTTCCCTAGAGTCTCTTCTCAGCATCATCTCCTGTATTTCACATTTCATAATCTCCAATTTCCCTTTAAAAAAAACCCTAAAAGTTTTTGTCTTTTATCTGTTAGGTAAACTATGCTATGTAGAGCAGGAGTGGGGAACATGTGATCTTCCAAATGTTGCTGAACTGCAGCTTTCATCAGCTCTAGCCAGCATGCCTAATGGTGATGGATGTTTTACAAGAATCTGAAACATCATGCATTTCCTGCTTCTGATATAGGGTACAGTGCTGGACTAAGGTAGAACAGATCATCAGATTTTATCTTAATCATGCAGCTTTTATATTTCTTCACTTTGGGAAAATAAGTTGGTCAAACATGTAGGATGCATTAGAAATATAGCCTCCAGATCCCATGAGGTACTTGTTCTCCTCTATTCAGCAGTGGTTAGGCCTCATCTAGAGTACCGGGTCCAGTTCTGGATACCATACTTTAAGAAGGATGCCAACAAACGAGCAAGTTCAGAGGAGGGCAGCAAGGATGATTAAGGGACTGGAAAACAAGCCCAGTGAGGAAAGACAGAAAGAGTTGGGCATGTTTAGCACTGAGGAAAAAAGACTGAGTTTGGATATGATAGCACTTTCCAGATACTTGAAAGATAATTGTACAAAGGAGGAGCAGGATCTATTCTTGATCATCCCAGAGTGCAGGGCACATAATAATTGGCTCAAGCTACAATAAGCCTGATTTAGGCTGAATATCAGGAACAACTTCCTACTGTTGGAGCAGTACAACAGTGGAACCAATTGCCTCAGGAGGTTGTGAGCTCTCCAAAACTGGAAGCCTTCAAGAGAAACCTAGACCGCTGCCTGCTATACATACTTTAACTTGTGTTCCTGTATTGTGAACAGGGTGTTGGATTAAATCTCCTTAGAGGCCTTTTCATTATTCTATGGTTTTTCGTTTGTAACCTGTTCTAATGGGTCCAATAGATGGATCTCTTTTTTTGCAGGAAAGACTATATTATAGACTATATTGAAATAAAAAGAAAAAACATGTTATTCATTTTGCACTAAGGTGATTGTTATCACATGGTCTAAAACTTTGCCAGTATAAGAGCTACCAAGTAGTGGATTGTTTCTGTTTTCTGCCTCAAACAAGACTAGTACAGTATGTTCTCATTAGCGCCACAGAAGTGAAAACCTTTTGATTTGCAGGAGATGGTTACCTTTATTGTTGGTTCCTAGAGCAAGTTAAGGTATAACCTGAGATCTTCTTGCACCAAACAAAGTGTAAACTAAAACATTGCAGCTTGGAATTGTCAATCTAGTGGACTTTGCTTCTTTGTAAATGGGACTGAGATTGAGCCATGAATCTGAGTTTACTCCATTCCTTTCACAATATATTACATGTTTTAATTACTGTTATATTGTCAAGGTGTGAATTTTTGTTTGTTTAGAGTGCTAAAATAATTAAGGGAAGTTTAGAAAATGCAGTCCTGAGAATGTGCGTACATAGCACTTTAAAAACGAGGTTTGAACAGTTGTATATTAAAAGTCACTGCAAAACAATCAGCCAGCTCTCTAGCAAAGTCACTGTACAATAACATTGCCTTGTAAAAGAATCTCTTTCATGAGTGACTGTCCAGTGTAAAACTAAACAACTGAGGAGAAAAATTGGTCTTTGAGAAAATTAGCTTAACAGCAATTTAGACCCATAGCGTTTTGCCTACCCAAGTGATTTATACCCACTATAACTTGCTTCCCTGGAAGATGAACTCATCTGTTAGTCCAGACAAGAGCTTTTATTTGCCGTTATGGCAACTTGCCAGACCTGTACTTTGGAACTGTATTTTACATGAGCTGTAAAAGCAATAGAAATTTCTGTTTTATATTTTTGGACTATGCATTAAGTGCCTGTAAGTTACTGCTCTGGTAATAGTCAATTGCTTATAGTTGAAAGGAAATGTAAACATTTGAGAGAAATATAAATATTGAGAGGTAGGAGACAGAAGACAGCACACTGTGCCCCAAAAACCTGATACCTACAACACTAGCCACCTAGAGTGGTCTTAACCAACCAGATAGGTGGGATATAAATAAAATAAATAAAACTGGTCCCAGGGAGTGACAGGCATCATGTAGCACCAGCAGCAAAAGTGGTAGCAGATGAGGAGAACGTGGATTTTCCTCCACAGATTCAAACAGGTTTGGCTGGGTGAGCATGTCATTTTCTGTGCCTATTCTTATAATATGTATACTTAATGGCTAAGAAAATCATTTTCTTTAATATATTCTTACTTTTAAGAACTTTGAACTGTGCCTATAATTTCCATAACTTAAAGAATTTTGGGTGATCTCCACAATTTTGGAATATTTTTGTGTATATGGAATACAGAAGCAATGTAGATAAAAGCTTGTAGAATTAAGCAAGCTGATGCTGTCTGGAGTCATTGCAAAAAATAAAAGACTTTAATACGCAGATGAATTTTGATATGATTGGCAATGGTTGTCTGATTTCATTCTGGAATTAACCCTTTTTGAGATAATACCAGCTGTGACAAACACAGGCTTCTGATTTTCCTCTGAGAGGTCTGTAAAATTCCGGAGGACACTTGGGAACAGTTTAGGCATCAGATTCTGACCTGAGAATACCCAGAAACAGTTGTTTGTTTGTTTGTTTGTTTGTTTTGGTAATGTCTAGTGTGCTGAAGACAACAAATAGCGTACTCACTTCATTGATACTGGTCCTAGTTAAGGTACAGTCATGCCCTGCTTAACGATTACCCCGCATTACGACGAATCCGCTTCACGGTGATGTTTTTGCGATTGCAGTTCGATGTTTTGAATTTTTTAATTATTTGTTTATTTATTTATTTGCTTTCCGAAGATCGGTTCCCTGCTTTGGGAACCGATTCTTCGCGTTACAATGATCAAAACAGCTGATCGTCGGGTTTTCAAAATGGCCACCGGGTGCTCAAAATGGCTCCCCGCTGTGCTTAGGTACGGATTCCTCGCTATACAGGCACCAAAAATGGCCACCGTATGGAGGATCGTCACTGGACTGTGAGTTTTTAGCCCATTGGAATGCATTAACCGGGTTTTAATGCGTTTCAATGGGTTTTTTATTTTCGCTTTACGACATTTTCGCTCTACAGCAATTTCGGTGGAACAAATTAACGTTAAGCAAGGCACCACTGTATTGTGTTATTGTTATCTTTGGTTATTTCACTCAGTACTACTGTCACTTGCAAAATACATGTGCATATCTGTATGCATGTACAATACTTTAACACTGTTATTGGAAATGACTGAATGATGAAAATGCAAATCTCTTCAGCAGGGTGGATGTTAAGCAAAACATAAAATAAGAAGGGAGGAGATACATATGTATGGAAGCTGCATCTGCAATGATGAAGAGTTTTCTTGAGATAGTGACTCAGAGTGACAAAGGAAACTGCAGACTTGGTTGGTAGGTTTTAGTGTTTTAGGCCAAAAAAGCAATGATTCCCACCATCCCCTTTGGAAATACCATAAATCAGCAGTTACTCATCTCTTAACTACTGGTTGTGTAAATTAGACAGTCACATTTTCTGAGCAGGTCTTTTATCTGTCAAGTCCTTCCTATTACAGCAAGCAATGTCTGCCTACTGATGAGTAGGTGATTTCTAGAAATCCTTTAACATGTGGTCTTAAATATTTTGATTAACAAGGTACTTTCTCTTTCCAATCAGCTGAAACCTGCACAGAACCAGCCATATCTCCGTCTTACTACACTACCTCTGATGCTGTCATTTCTTCTGAGACTGTCTTTGTTGTTGAGATCTCCCTCACTTGTAAGAATGGAGCTCAAGTGAGTGCCTGAATGCTGAACTTCTCTTGTCTTCAAAGAAAATGCAATCGAAGTGCCTTGATACATCCCCAGGAACCAGCAAAATAGATTGAAGTTTTGCAGTGGGTCTGTGACAATGTTGCATGGTTTTGGATTTATGGTGTGTCCCACTCCATGGACTTCCCATAGTGTACCCCATGCTATAGGAATTTGCCTCTCTGAACCATTGGCTGGCCTGATTTGCTGTAGCCCCAGCCACTGAAACGGGTGGCACATGTGCACATTGACAAGAAATAATAAAGCACAATTGGGAGCCCAGATAGAATCTTGTTGCTCTATCCAGAGGCCTTTGAACCTATTATTTGAAGGGCATGCTGAACTAGAAGAATCTCCCTTTCACATTGTTACAGAGTTCTGTTATGAGGGATGGATGACAAAATTACAACAAGCTTTCAGGATGAACACTGGTGTGATGTTCATCATACTTTCTCTTCCTACAGAATGTTGCCCTATATGCCGATGTCAATGGGAAGCAGTTTCCTGTTACTCGGGGCCAGGATGTTGGCCGCTATCAGGTAAGAGCAAGCAATGACAGAAACAGTGAAATCTTAATGGACCTCCATAAGTGGACCAATATTAAGCTGAAGGTGAATTTCCACACATTATCTGCATGGCCTTGAGCAAGGTGTCTTTTGCTTCCATGGTGTTGACTTGCAGTAATAGTCTGAGAATACTTACTTCAATTCATTGGGTCTGGAAAAAGTGGTCCCTTTAGGTATCAGAATAGAAGGACAATGTGGAATATGCCCTGTCTGTCAAGTAGTTTGTCAGTGAGGAAATCTGGGCAGGCTATAAACATGGGTGAGAAGGTACTCTGCTCATTGGCTTGACATGTACATTTCGCATTGACATTGCTAGTCAAGTTCCCAGTCTTTCCATTTTATATATCCGAAGGTTTAGAGCATCAACGCTCTTCCTACACAAATGCATGGCTATGGATTTATGGTGGGTCTAGTTCCATAGGTCTGTCCATAGTGTATTCCATGCTAAAGTGAGCTGCTACTCTGAACCATTGGCTAGTTTGGCTTGTTGTAGCCCTGGCTACTGAAAAGAGTGGTACATCTGTTTATGTCTCTTCATGTCTGTGTATTTTCGTCTGTCTGTCTCCAGTCAGTGGGAGGTGGCCAATTTTGTTCAGATTGACCTGGTATTCCTGCCTCTCTTAGGTCTCTTGGAGCATGGAGCACAAGCTGGCCCGCTCTGGCACCTATGAGGTGAAGTTCTTTGATGAGGAATCGTACAGCATTTTACGGAAGGTGAGTCTGACCCCAGTGGGCTGCGCATCGGCTAAAGCAAAGGTGTGTGCAGCTTTGTCTCCCCAGGAGGTTTTATACTGCAGCTTTCATGGTCCCTCACTTTTGGGTGTTCTGTCTAGGGCTGCTTGGAGTTGTTGGCCAAAAATATTCTGGAGGAAGGCACGGTGCTAACCCCTGGGCGGTGGGAAGACAGACCCTCAGAAAGTAGCAGGGTTAGGAGATGGGTGATGATTTCAGTATATGACCTTGGGAGTGTATTTAAAATTAGTGATATTACTTCTTTAGTGGTATAATTAAGAAAAAATCTCATAAGTAATGTACTGTTGGTTTTTTTTAAAATCATCCAACATAATCTCTTTTCCTTTATTCAATTGGGAGGAATCACTCTGTTGATAGTATTTTTAGTACAGGAAAATGCTGTTGGATTCATATTCAGGTAGAGTTTGGCATTATTAGGAGTTGGTTTTGGTAGCCAAATTGTCATTTAGTGAATGAGTTTTTAAAGCATCAGTAAACCCTGAATTAACATGAATTATCTCCACTCTATTTTCCATTCCTGCTTTTTTGGGGGGGGGGGGGTTGGAAGCTAGTTATATACCTTTGCACATACGGAGTGGTTTTTCTTTGCCACTGAGCAGTTGCAGCTTGACTGTACTTTTTAAAAAGTACAGTTCTTCCAAAGAAAATGGCAAGGATCCCATAAAGACCTGAGCTCCAAGGCTTCGGCAAGCATCTAATCATTGCCCTCAGCCCTCTTGACTTTGCTCTGAGAACACAGGCCTAATACTTTCTTAATTTTTAAAAATCTCACAGCTAGCAGCTTAGATGTTATGCTGTCGTAACTCACCATTTTTTCTTTCTCCATAGGATATAATCCCATAGAGTTACTCAGTGTAGGGGAACGGTGATGGGGTCATATCTGATGGGAGTGTTATACCATGAGTGTTATATTATTTTTTAACTTTTCTGCACTGTCCATAAGATACCAGTACATGCCTGAAGAAATGAATTTTAATTCAAGGAAGATTTTTTTTCTTTTAGTGATGCAGCCGTCTCTTGTATGGACCATACAGCTCCCATTGTGTTGTTTTATACCATGAGAAATCTCATCTAATTAATAAACTTGAACATGAGCCCATTTTCCCAATTCTGTTTCCTTTTTCTAGGCTCAACGCAACAACGAGGATGTCTCTGAGATCAAGCCATTGTTTACAGTCAATGTAGATCATCGAGTGAGTAAAAGAAGGAGGGAAAGCCTGCTGCAGTGTGGGAGAGGGATACTTCTGTGGGTGTCCAATGTTTAAAAGCAAAAGCGTGCTGCTTATATACCGCCCCATAGCGCTACAAGCACTCTCTGGGTGGTTTACAAGTTAATTATGCAGGCTACACATTGCCCACCCCCACCCCCCAGCAAGCTGGGTACTCATTTTACCGACCTCGGAAGGATAGAAGGCTGAGGCAACCTTGAGCCGCTACCTGGGATTGAACCCCAGGTCGTGGGCACAGTTTTGGCTCCAGTACAGCAGTTTAACCACTATGACATGGGGTAGAATCTTTTCCACCAGCAAGGTGTCTCTTTAGGACTGAGGGTCCACCTTAACCAGATTGTTTATAGGATATGACAGTTTCTCAATGCTGTTACCCTGTTTTCCCAAAAATAAGACAGGGTCTTATGTTAATTTTTGCTTCAAAAAACGCATTAGGGCTTATTTTCAGGGGATGTCTTGTTTTTTCATGTACAGCAATCTGCATTGATTCAAATACAGTCCTGTCATCATCTGGTTGCTGCACAATGGTGGAAGTCGGGGTTTCATTCAACTGGGGCTTGTTTTGGGGGTAGGGTTTATATTACGAGCATCCTGAAAAATCATACTAGGGCTTATTTTCAGGTTAGGTCTTATTTTTGGGGAAACAGGGTAATATATGGGTGTATATGTCCTACAAGGGACTCACATTATCTGAGACTAGATACATTGTTTGGATCCTTGCTTGTGAGGCAAATATGGTGCAAAAGGTCCTCAGATCAGGAATCCTGAAAAATAATTGCCTGCCCAGCAGGGGGTGATTCTCTATGCTGTTTCTCTCTTAATTTTAGATGAGATAGAGGCTGTATATTCATGATAGCAGATAAGTACTTTGAACAAAATCTCAGCCATTTAGGCATAATACAGAATTGAGGGAATTTGTTCTTTTAATTTGGCGTGGATTATAATAGCCGCTCCTCACATTTGAGGATTTGAATAATCTGATCTCCATCTTCTCAGACAAAGCCCAGCTTCCAAATGCAGAATGAGTTGTGTTTATTTAAATGAGTTTTGCTTAAGTTTTGCTGACAATCATTATTAAGATGCTGAGAGTATAGGCAAGAAGGGAGAGGCCGGGAAGATTAGAAGAGCTAGGTCATGTGTAAGATTAGGTAAATAATAAACTATTGAGGTGGTGAGAATAAAGATCTGTACTAAGCAAAGTAATGCCAATCAGTAGCAAATAACTCTGGTTTCTGAGATGTTGCTTTGCTTAGCTTTCCTTCACATAAGTATTGGCTAGAGAGTTTATTTAAAAAGAGAGCATGCAGACAGAAGTTGAAGTTTTCTATAGCATTGGGAGAAATAGTGAATTACTCATGCAACAATACCTGCTATCACATCAATTTAAGCCTCCCCCCCATGTTCAGAGTAATCCCTTTTACTGGCTTGAGTTAGAGACTGGCAAATAAGCTGGAGCTGACCTTGGCTGATGGTTCCTCCAGCATGCCTATATTGCTAAATCCTGTAAGACTTTGCTAAAATATCGAAGAATCTTGTGGCTGGATAGAGATTATAAACGTCTCTGTGAGATTGTCTTGACCCCTGATTTAGTTTTTGATTGCTAAGAAGATTCCCACACTTAAGTCAGTCACTGTTCCTATTGCTGATCTCTGCTCTGTGTTGAAGTTCTCCGCTCTCAGTGATTGATGATCTGTGGATTCCCATCCTTGCCAATGCTGCATGTGCTGTTCAGCTGGAGTCTAGAAAAGAATCAAAAGTGGGAATACTCTGAGGATTCAGCGGTGTAACTCTTTGTGCCTCTCTTTAAGTATTGACGGCTGCATGATCATCATGTTTTTGTTCCTCTTCTCTTTCCCCATCACAGGGTGCCTGGAGTGGACCATGGGTCTCCACCGAGGTGCTGGCAGCCTTCATTGGTCTCCTGGTGTATTACATGGCCTTCAGCGCCAAGAGCAACATTCAGGCTTAAGCTTTCTTCAGTAAATCCTTCATGTCTACCTTACTGTCATCCGTTTGTCTTTTCAGTGGGTGGGAATAGGTTTCTGTGTGCTGGACTCTTCTCTGTCCCATTGCTTCAGACATGCAGTCACTCACTGACTTCATACAGGCCACTCGTGTCAGTTCATTATGCATTATTTTATTTGGGAGTGGGGGCAAAAGAAGAGTTTCAGAAATGGTAGTGCCACTCAGAACTGCCTGTTGGGATCCAGATCCCTGTTGGGATCTGAGGACTGTGAGAGAACAAAAAAGGATACTAGAGAACAAATAGCTTTTAAGTGGAGTGGATTCATGGGTTGAATCAGAGCCTGTTTCTGTAACTGCACACATTTTTTTCTGCTAATGAAGTCCCGAGCTGACTTTGCAGCAGAGATTGATATAGTGGTGGGCTGGGCTGTGATGGCAGCTGCTTTCCCACCTCTGAGCTTTGGGTTTGTTTTCTTTTGCCTTAATCCTGTTAAGCAGCCTGTCCCTGGGTGCCGCAATATTCATGCCACAGCTCCTTATCCGCCTAATGACACAGGCTCCTGGTGTGAGCCAGTGCAATGCAGGGGGGATTACACCACTGCTCTAAAGTCTTGCTAATGCTGGATTAAAGTTGGGGAAGCCAGCCACAGAGGGACTGTAATGAGAGCATCGCAGCCTGGCTTGAATATCCCACTCACAGTGGGATCCTGAAATGGGACAGACTCTTACTGATTTGGGACAAAACCCTATTTGCCCTTCACTGGAGGAAACAAGAAAAGCTGTCAGAATGGTGCCAGTTCTGATGTTACATGCCATCAAGTCACTTCTGACAGGGTTACCCCATGAATTAGTGATCTCCAAAAGGCCGTATCATTAACAGTCATGCTCACATTTTGCAAACTCAAGGCTGTGGTTTCCTTTGTTGAATCATTCCCTCTCATACTCGTCTTTTCCTACTGCCTTCCACTTTTCGTAGCATTATTGTCCTTTCCAGTGTGTCTTGTCTTCTCTTGATATGCCCCACAATATATCAGTCATTTTTACTCCTAGTCAATGTTCAGACTTGATTTGATGTACAAGCACCCACTTACTTGTCTTTCTGACAGTCCATGGAATGTGTAAGGCTGTGCTCAAACAACACATTTCAAATGAGTTGTTTTTTTCTTCTTCTCTGTCATCTTTCTTCACTATTAGCTTTCATGTCTATACATAGTGATTGGGAATATCATAGTATGGATGATCTTCGCCTTGTTCTCTGAAATATCTTTATATTTCAGGATCTTATTTGGTTCTTTCAAAGTTACCCTTCCTAGTCTCTGTCTTCTGATTCCTGGGTGCAGTTTCCATTTGGATTGATGATGGAACCAAGCTATGGAACATCTTTAACAATTTCAATTTCTCTTTTTTCTTCTTCTGAAAATCAAAGTTATGCAAGTCTTCTGTGGCCTTGATTTTTTCTTTCTTTCTTTCTTTTAAGGGCCAATTATTAGTCTGCTTTGGCACTTTCTACTTTAACTTCCCTCCACAGTCATTTCAAACTATTGCTGTTTTCAGACAGTAACTTTGTATCTTAAATTATTGATGCTTCATTTACCAATTTTCACTCCTCCCTTACTTTTACATTGTGTGCTCTGCACATAGGTTGCACAGACAGGGGTGAGGGCAGGATAAACATACACTCTTGTCTGACATCTTTGCAAATACGAAACTATCCTGTTTCTTCATATTCTGTGCGAACAATAGTTTCTTGTCCAAAGCATGGATTGCGCATCAGGCCAAAATGTGACATAGCCCTTTATTTCAGAACAATCTATAGCTTTTTATAATCCACACAAAGGCTTTGCTGTAATGTAAAAAACATAGATTATCTTCTGAAATTCATTATTATGCTAACAGATATTTATTAAATGATCTCTAGTGCTTATTGTTTTTCAGAATCTAGCATGAGCCTCTGGCATTCCTTACTCTACATGGTCAGAATCTTTGTTGCAAAATCTTAACCATGAATTTGCTTGCACGTGAATTTAATGCAGCAGATCCTGTAGTTAGTGTGTTCTTTCATGTGTTTTTGCTGTGGGACTGGAATGTACGTTGAATGTTCCCAGTCTCTGGGCCTTAGTTTTTCATATTCATACTCTTACTAGGATTTTGATAGATGCAGTCTTGTCCTGGCAATTTATTTCTTCCATTGCTTTGAAAAGTACCTTTTACTTAACTTTCTAAAACTCTAAGTGTTGCTTCACAGGATTTTTCTTCAAAAGGATCTTTCAGCCTTGCACCTCTTCTGTAAAGTTCCTCAGTATATTGTTTCCATTGTGTGGTTTTTGTGGTTTTTGTTTTGCAGTTGTTTTGATCAAGTAAAATATTCTCCTCTTGATGCCTCTGCATTCCTAATCTTGGTTTAAATTTCCATTTGATTGCTAGCTTGACTGAAGGCTAATTTGGCATTGCTTGCCTGCCATCTAGAGTTGTTTTCCAGAAGGCTGCACCCATCTCCACGACCTGCTTGATATTATGAGTTGCCATTGCTCAATGTTTCTGTTCACTGCCTATTTTTCCTGAAAAAATGTAAAATTCATAGGTATCTCCAGTTTTAAATGCAGCTTTATACTTTACAGGGATACTCAGCTCCTGTAATCTCAACAGAGTGTGTGCCTGCCATCTAGAGTTGTTTTCCAGAAGGCTGCACCCATCTCCACGACCTGCTTGATATTATGAGTTGCCATTGCTCAATGTTTCTGTTCACTGCCTATTTTTCCTGAAAAAATGTAAAATTCATAGGTATCTCCAGTTTTAAATGCAGCTTTGTACTTTACAGGGATTCTCAGCTCCTGTAATCTCAGCAGAGTGTGTGTGTTTTTTTTTTTAAAAAAAGTGTGCATTAACAATTTATAATGGGAAACTGCAGGTTTTTTTTAAATAAAGTTGGATTGTTGGAAGAGCAAAATAATGTGTAGAGAAGAACTAGTAACAAATGTTTCTGCCGAGTTCTGCCACTCCTTGTGGTCATATCTATGCCATCTTTTCTGTGACATGAGGCCACCAAGTCTTCTGAGTATAGGAAGGTGCACAAGCTGTGAATGAGAGTCATCCCCCAACATTTGCCCGTGCACAATTTTGAGAGTTCTTGGGAAGGATAAAATTGAACAGTTAACTTGATTTATGTGTTTATTACACCTGCATCTTTAAGGCTCTGTTTGTTACATACACACCTGCTGTATGCTTTTAAAATGGGGACAGAATTTATTAATTAGGGGCATGGACGTGTAAGAATACTTAGAGTGTTCTGTCTGGTTCTTGTTGCAGTCTAAAAGCAAAGCTAATAGTAACCTGTAGTCGGAGCTTCTCGCTGTTTTGGTATTCTCACCCACACTCACAGTTTTTTGAAATGAATAGTTCAAGCTGCCTTAGGGTATGACTGGATGGTCTACTTGTCCTGGACTGAATTAGACTCAATCATCCTAAACCATTACTTTGAAGTGCAGTGTGTCATTTGGGACAATCCTTGCATCCACATATGAGGATCAGGTGGTTTCTGGGCAGGAATCTACAGCGCATCTGAAAGTGACCTTATTTGTCTTTCCTTTAAACAGAAAGGAAAATAACAAAACCATCCCCTTCCTTGTTGTCTCCTGTTCCATCCTTCCTGAGGGAGTAGAAGAAAACTTTAAAAAAAAAGTTCTATCTGGCATAAGAGTGCCTTATTGGCTCGCTGAGCAACCAATTCAGCACTGCCTTATAAGTTGAAAGAAAAAAAAACACCTTTGCATCCTCTCCATGAAGCTTTCATTTTCTCAATATGAATAAGCAAGGAAATAGTTTAAACCAGGGGTGTCCAACCTTTCACCTTCCCTGGGCCACATTAGAAGATGAAAATTTGTTTTGGGCCGCACATACTTTTGGTTTGGGCCGCATGGGGGGGGCAGCCCTAGCCGTCCTCCGCAGCCCCACTCCAAGCGCCCTTACCGGCAGCTGCGATCTCAGACAGCAGAGGCTGCCAGCGTCGACTCCGGCGGCTTCATGGGGCCGGGAGGGGGTCCACCTATTGACAGGGACAGCACAATGCGGTCACGCAGCCCCCCTGTCGCCTCCCTTCCCACTACTTCCTTCCCTCTCTCCCCCTCTACTGTTGTGACATGCCCCGGCCACATTCCGGCCACAAGCGCTGGCAGTGTAACTTGAAACTTTGGAATTTCTTTTTAAAAATTGCACTGGGCCGCATTACGAGCTGACCTGGGCCGTATGCGGCCCTTGGGCCGCAGGTTGGACAAGCCTGGTTTAAACCATCAATTTTTGTTCAGTCCCTGAAATCACATATGCTGAAACTGAATGCAAATGGAGCAGTTCTATCCGTGCCAAAAAACACCAGTATCTCCTGATGGAGACCCAAAAAGGTGCAGGTAGGCACGAATTGTGGATGGGCCATAAGTCATGGTTGCCTTCGGGGAGAAGTGAGCCAACCCAAACCAGACTGAACTAGATCCTTAACCTACTGAGTTGCTTGATGTATTCATTCACTCTGTGACCACATGTTATTTTAAAGGACAGTGGGCTCTCCAAAAATGATCTGCTTAACTTTGCTGTTTGCTACTACCTGGAAATGCAAGGGATTGAACCTAGGACTTCATTCATGCTGTTCAGCTTAGTAATGGGACTTCTTTCTTATCTGAGTTCAAAAATTAGGGCAGAAATACTTCTTTACTAGCCAATAGTTAAGAAACAGCAGTCATCAGACCTCAAAAGGTTACCCAATCACTGTCTTGTTATCAAGGACAGCTAGCTTTTTTTTTTCTCACACAGTTGTCCCAAAGTAACCCCATTTGCAATACTTTCCCTTCGCCTGTTAAACTGAAGCATAAATTTTGTAGTGCAAAAGCATTTGCTGGCCAGTTTTGGAAATAAAGCCCATGAAACTTGATTTTCACAGGACTGTCGCACGACAAGTAAAAAGAATGGCGTTTTTATTGTAACAATGCAAGTTCAGCCTTGGATACAAGGTTTACCACAAGCTATCTGCTCCCACAGTCTCCCTATGCTAAGCTAAGGTCCCTTGCCCTCAAGTAGGAGCAGAGGATAATCAGATGGTAGATGATGCAAGAAGGGGAGAGTAGCTTGTTGAGTGAGCCTCCAGGGCCCAGACCTTCGGGTTTGAATAGAGAAATGAAAAAGAAATTGATAGCCACAATCACAAAAGAGAGAAAGAAAATTAGAGGAGAGAAAGATGTCACAACATCCCAACTTGGGGCGGGGTGGGGATATCATCACTGGTCTTGTTGACCTATAAGTTGGGGGTGGGGTTGAGCCTCCTTGTTGCTTCCCTTGTGCTCTGCACAGTGCATGTAGACCACAGCAGATTCCTTGTGCTTCAGGGTGTGATTTGCAGGGGTGAAGCAGGCAAAACTTTCCCCTAAGCAATGGGTAGCCAAGCTGCCCTTCACAATCGCTTTTGATACAGATTGTATGTCAGAAAAACACCTTGCTCCACAGCAAGCAGGTTCAGGTGGGGTGGCACAGAGGGGAGTAACCCCTCATGCCCCTCTGGGTCTTAAGGCAGGCAGACAGCCATGCGGGGCTTTCTGTCCCATTCTACATTTGGTTCAAAGGGGGCCCTTTGAAGCCCTATGGCACTCAAGTCGCAATAAGATCTTTCCCTGGTGTGTTCCATGAGCTACGTTCTTGGTAAAAGAGGAATGGGTTGGCCTGTCTTTTTTTTTTTTTAACATTCTCTGGCACACCAGCAGGGCATAAAGGACAATGCAGTTCCCTCTGTGTTTCCCTCTGATGTGCTCAAACGGTGGTGACAGACAGAAGCGGGTTGTACACTCTGCGCCCATCAGCTGAACGGGTGCCGTGTGCCAGCATCTCTTGAATGGTGATCCAGTTGTCCAGGATACGGCGACTCCGTTTCTTCATGGTTTTCCGGTGACTCAAAGCCAGGATGTTAACCTCACTTGACATGCCTCGGGCTTCGCTGCCTTCCCGTTCCCTCAAGCACTCCAGTCGGCTCTGCATCATAAATTCACGGCGCTTCCTCTGCTCACGGGCACGAATCAGGTGCTGCTTCCGCTCCTCCTTGCTCCAGTAGCGTCCCATCTTCATCTCACTCACGGCGTCATCATCTGTGGTCATGCCACTGCGTTCCTCGCGGATCTTCATCGCCCTGGCCTTGAGCAGCCGGTCCCTCACTGGTCTTTTGGCCACGTAGCGTGTGCCGTCACTGCGGACCTTCACTTTCCACTCCATGCGGGGCTCCCCTTTGGCCCCAAGAGAGTCCTTGCATATGCTGGCTAAGCTCATAGGGCTGATAGGAGCAGGCGGCTCTTCCCGTTGCCGCCGACTCAGATACGGGCTGCTTTCTCCGGCTGCTTTGGGGCTGCTGCGCCGCACTCGCTCTTCCCGCCGGAATTTCGGCTGTGGAGGTGAAGGAGGGGCAGTCCGGTTGAGGTTGGGGGGCTCAGCCAAGCGGCGCAAAGGGCTTTCCAACAAGGGGGTGCTTCGGCAACTCTCCCCGGTGTTGTAGGCACTGGTGCTGTCCTTGTCTGAACGTTCTGGCAGCTCGGTGATGTCTGACAACTCATGCTTCTTAGGTTCTCCTTCCAAGGTATATAATCCTTCCTCCTCAAGCAGCCAGGCCTTCATGCATCGCTCCCGTAGCTGCTGCATTTTTTGCGCCCGCAGGATGTTGCGGCACTTAAACTCCAGATGTCGGAGTTCCTCCTCCAGCAGGGCGACCTCGTTTCGGTTAACATCCAGTGCTGCGCTGACCAGGCCAGGGTCGTTGCCGTTCTCCAAGTGACATTTCAGCTCCAAGAGCTCCCGGTAGCGTTCGTACTCTTCATCCGTAAGCCCCGGCATCAGGTCTGTCCCCACAGCGCTGGGAGGCTCTCCTGCCAGCAATGAGTCCATGCTGTAATGGAAGTCACGGGGCTGCAGGCTGGGCCCAAACTTCCGTAGGGTCCCTGGGGTGTTGGCAGCACTGGGTGCTTCATCTCCTAGAAGGTCATGCTCAGAGCTCTCCTCATTGCGGGTGCTTTCGTCAGTTCGACCGACGCCACTATCTAGCTCCTGGCTGTTGGTCAGCGGTGTGGCGGGATCCCCAGCTGGCTTTTCTGGTAGAGGTTCATTCTGCAGGAGAAGGGGGACAGGCCACTGTTCAGAGAAAGATGGATGAATACAGTACTGTCTTCTATCCAGGTTTTGGGGACAGAATTTCCTACTGACACCTTGGCATGACCCTTAGGACTCCTGCTTTATTATAATAGCTTTTACAAGGGCAGAATGGGAGGATTAAATGAAATATCAGTTCTACCCCATGACCAATTCCCATGGGATCTGAAGGATAGGCAAAGGGGCTCCTTCCAAGATCTCAGCTGCTTCGGAAGCATAGAGCTTCCTTCTGATTAGACATCTCAGCTAGTCCCTTGGAACAACTGTTTTATTTATTCCCAGTCACGAATGGCTCCCACAGCATCCCACTATTTCAGAAATCAAAATCATTTTTTCCTAGGCCTGCCTTTGCTGTTGCTTCACAAAGTGGAGGGGAGGGAGAGAGACAGATTATTTTGCCCTGCAGTTTTGGTGCATACTCCTGCGCTCCTGTGCACGCATGAGTGCACACACACACACAGAGCTGCTCCAACTGCAGCAAGTTGATCAGAAATAAAACAAGATCATGTATCCTCTGGTTAGCTATTTAGAAGGCAATATGACTTCTGGACATTTGCCCACTCCTGTGTGAGGTCCTTCTATAGTGTGGACTGGTGTGAGTATAGACACTGGCGGATTTAAGGCTTACAAGATTGACTTTTTTGATAATGCGAAACAAGATGGGTGGTAGATTAAGTGATCTGGGGCCATTTATTGGCTGGACTCTGTATATGTGCAGACAGGCATTCTCAACAGGCTAGTTGTTTGTTCAGTGTTCTTTTGTTCCAATTATTTTTAAGCTTCCAGTAGTTAGGAATACATGCCAATCCACTGCTAATCAGCAGTCTTATCTTCTGTTTATCCCCGGTCTAGTGCATAAGCTAAGGCCCAGACACATGGAAATGAGTAGCTTAGGAGCACAATAATACGAGAGATTTGTCAGCCTCTGTTACTGATCACGGGAGGGAAGAGTTGATTTAATAGATTCAGTGAAATAAACAACAGCTTGCTTCACCGTAGGTACAAGCAAAGGATCATCATCTTACTGTAAATCTTTGAAATATGAGTCGGAGGCAAATTTTAGCATAACCATGAGCTCAGTAATTCACTTAGCATGCCGGAGCAGATGGTATGTGCAACCATAAGGGCTGCAGCTCAGCGGCAGAGCCCATACGTCCATTCAGAATGACCCAGGTTAAATCCCTAGAATTTCAGACAGAACTTATTTGAAACCTTGGAAAGCTGCTTCTAGTCAGCGGGGTCCCTGACATATACGGGCCAGAGGGCGCACAGTGTCATAAGCACTGTCACAGAATGGCTATGATGGTGGTGCTTTGCTACCAAATGGGGGTTGCAGCAAGATGACAAACAGGGATACCGATGACACTAAAATACAAATCATTTGGAGGCAGGGCTGGGGGTTTGACACTCATACCCTGTGTTGCTTCGAGCGGAATCATGCACACCTCTCTTACCCCACAGGTTTCACTCGTCTCAGCCATTCTTTTGTAACTTTCATTTGCTCTTTCAAGATCACCCTTCTCATCAACCTTCCCTCTAAGCACAGCCAAGCCAGTGCTGCCACCCATTTGCCATGGCCGTAATGCCACACACACAGAGCAGAGCCCCCGCCCAGTGCTCCAGAAAATTAGAGGGAATGTTGCTTCTCCTATATGCTCCTGCATGCTCATTCATACACATGCAACACTGCAAGCAGGCCTCTTTCCTGCTTTCTTCTGCCTGTCCCCAAAATGAGATGCCGCCAACAGAAGGAGTGTTGCACTGCATTTCGCAGCCGTCCTACCCCGATATTGGCAGTTGTGAGAGTTGCCGTTCAACCACACCTGGAAGCCAGTCACACTGGTTCTTAACCTTGGGTTACTCAGGAGTTTTGGACTGCAACTCCCAGAAGCCTTCACCACCAGCTGTGCTGACTGGGGTTTCTGGGAGTTGCAGTTCAAAAACACCTGAGTAACAAAGGTTAAGAACCACTGGCCTACCACACCAGAGCTCCCCCTTCAGGATGGCATACCTGCTGACTTGGTGGAGAAAGGAGCCGCCCGGGTTTTGTTCCAGCTTCATGGTCAGAACCAAAGTCATCTAGGAAATCTTCACGGTCACTGTCCTTCCAGCGTTTGGACAGCTGAAAGAGGGAAGAAAGTTAAGTCAACAGTCCCAGGGATTTCTCTATCTACACCCCATCCCAAACCTAGTTCATGCTCTTTTGCATCCCAAATAAGTGCCAGTCTGTACCAGCCCTGCCATTCTGAACTACCCAGATCTCAGCAGTATCTTGCCTCAACTCAAAGCAAAATTATTATTTTGGACTGCATCTCCCAGAATCCCTCAGTCAGCAGGACTGGAGGAATCGGAGTTGCCATCTAAAAAGTAAGCCTTCCACGCTCTGGATTTCAGATTTATTTTGGCCTTTAATAACCTTCTATTTCATTTCATCTGGATATCTGTCAAAGTTGCACAATCTAATTTTTCTTTCCAAAACAAAGTGTGTACTGTTTTTCACTTTAGAATCAGAACCTCACGTTACTTTGTAAAATGTATTTTTAAAACCTCTGTTTATTGAGGGGACTCTAGTGCTGTTCAGACCCATATTCACATCTGAGTCAGTTCCTCTCTTTTAGCCTAATCGGCTTCAAGGGTTGCTGTATCCAGAGAAGGAGCCTTTGCTCCCAGAGAGGCTCATCCTAATCCAATCCCAGCCTAGCTGGTGGCTGAAAAGAGCTGTGCCTTATTCTTGCATGTAGAACCAGGTGCAGTTTCTCTTGAAAACAGATGTAGTTTTGTGAAGTGTATGGTACCTCTCCCCCTGCCCCCTACAAGCTTCTAGTCCACTAGTATATCATTAGTTAACTGTACTCAGTATCTTCTTGATTCAACCTGGGGCAATGTATGAATGGTTCACCAGTTTCAGTTCACGTCTCCTCTCTATGTTGTCAGGGTAATGCATCAGCATGGAAGAGCATCGACCAAAGCAATGCAAAACAGAATTCAGATATGAGGTCTCTCAGCATGCTTTTGTTTCAAATCACTGCACATCATCATCTGTACAGGGTTAAGATGGGGAAGAACACAGTCTGAAAACTGCACAAGTACAGCAGTATGAGTTTGGTTGTTAATGTATTGCTGCTTGTGTGGAAACAAGGGATACTTGCAGACAAACATTGGTATAATCATCCTAGTTCAAACACAGTTTTGTAGGGATTCAGGAGTATTTTTCCATCGTTCTTCCTTGCCACAGATGATCTGCTGAAGAGGGGACGAGAGAACAAAAAACACCTGAGTTTCGTTTGGTAGTATTAGGAGCCCCTGTATCTGGACGGAAGCACCTGTGAGGTTATTTGTGACTCCAAATTCAGGGAGAGAAAATAAAGAGGGAGAAAGATCTACAAACATGAGGAAACCAGAATACAGAAGGTCTAGTTTCTGGTACTTGAAAGCCTTGGGCATGATGAACAAGAAATAGGTCCATTCCTAGAAGTTAAAATGTGCCAGTGTCCCGCCACACTGGATTGGACTGGACTGGGCATGTTTTCTTCCATAACAGCCAAAGGAAAACCCATACGTGCTTGTTCTTTGTAGTATGCGATGCAGCAGAGAATTTCCTTCTTACAACCTTACTACTGTGGGCAAGGGTACGTGAAGTGAAGTTCAGGTTGCATATCCAGCCTATAGAGCCAGTGTGGTGCAGTGTTTAGGGATGCTGGGCTAGTATCTGCGATACCTGATTCTTAGCCTGACCAGAGCTATTGGGGAGGAGAAAGAGTGGAGGAGAACCAGCTGTGCTACCTTAAAGCTTACTGGAGGAAAAGAAGGATATAATTATGATGAGTAAAATAATCATATCAATAGATCCTCTGATTCTCAAACCACAGGAAACAGATTTGTGCTAAGCCTGTCAATCTAGTTCACTATTGTTTACTCCTGCATAGGGCAACTTGTTGCTCTTTCACTGCTCATTTCCTCAGAGCTTCAGCCACCACAGCTAGTGGCGAGGTCTGCTGGGGGGGTAAAAGACCACAAGCAGTTGACACTGATTGAGAGCAGCTCTTCCGAGTTTCAGGCGGGAGTCTTTCCCAGTCCTACCTAGAGACACGGGTGGAGAGTCAGCCACTGGGCTGTAGCTCCGGCTCATCCTTTTTCAGCCTCACGGCACATCTAAATGCCTCTCACCTCAGTCTCAGGCCTAGCCAGCAGCAAAGAAATGTTTGTTCGCTCCTCCTGGGTGAGAATGGCTACAGCCTCCTCCCGATTTTGCACCTCCATGCCATTAATCTAAGATGGAGACAATGCACATAAGGGCAGGTTTAAATTCATGTCAAACTGGCCTTGGCAAACAACATCTGTCTGCAACAGACATTCCTCAAAACATTCACCTGGACAATACGATCTCCTTCCCGTATGCGTCCATCTTTGGCAGCGATGCTGTTGGGGTTCACCTGGAATAAGAAAAGTTGCATGAACACCAGTAAGTACCTCGAGTATTCTGCTCGCTTGATTCTGTTTACTGCTATAGCCTCCTACCCTTGGAATACAGAACAAGACTGGAAATGGTAGGAGAAAACTTTTTTTTAGTGTCCAGAAATTTTATATGTAATCTAGTGCTCTGTAATGTAGTGGTTTGTGATTTCAGCCACGGAGTCACGAACTCAAATCTCAACTTGGGGGGGGGGGCAGGGATCACTTCTTACTATTAATAAAAGACTACCTAAAGCTGCATGAAAATGCCTTTTTGTGTTTGCAAAATTTATTTCCATTTATTAAAGATCCCCTTCCTAGAATACAGCGATGATTTGGGGTAGCTCTAAAGCTGGCCAAACTTCCTAACGTGATCTCTTTCAATGGGTGAAGACCTCCAGGTTTCATAGCCTGCCTCTGCTTTTCTGTGCTGATGACTTGGTGCATTAAACGTTTCCCTGCTCCCAGCATTTTTTCCCAATAGCTGCGAGTTCCACAGTGCTGTGAGATCCAGTGCAAAAAGTTGCTTCTGATATTGTTGTTGTTATGGGCTGCCAGGCTTCTTCTGAATTAGGGGGGAGTTGATGAATTAATGACCTTGAATAGGGCCCATCACATATTGCAAACTCAAGACCAAAGCTTCCTTTATTGTGTCAATCCATCTCATGTTTGGTCTTCCCCTTTTCCTACTGTCTTCACATTTTCCCAGATTTTGTTTTTACCAGTGTGTTGTCTTCTTGCGATGTACTTAAAGCATGATAAAGTCAGTTTTCCCCACTAGCTATGAAGTGCACAGTGCCACAAAGTCCTGCTATTGAAATACTTCACAACGTATATGAAATCTATCTTAAATTTCTTCTTGCTATTGTTAAAGATCCTGAATAGATGATGTTTAAGTGGATTGTATTCAGTAGCAATCCCCTTGGAATCTTAACTTGCTGCCAAAGTAGAAGTGATGTTAATTGTGTGAATGCAATTAGCATGTATGCTTTTAACAATGTCAATAAGCATCCGCAGGGAAGGATAAATACTGGAATAAGGAGGGGAAGAGAATTTAGTGCATCCACTCCCTGTTGTGGTTCCAGAAAACATTCCTCCTCTTACCAGATGTTGCTGATATCACCTTGGGAGGGGGGAAGGAACCCATTTCAGTCTGTGAATCTTGTTCTCTCCAAACATTCCTCCTCCCTTACTTTAAGAAGATATCAGGTTTCCCCTTCTCTCTAAATTTCATGGAGTGAGTCTGACCTCCTCTGACCTGCAGCGATACCCTCTAAGGATGCCCTTGAGAACTGTCTGAAGCCACCTAGTGGTTCAGAAGCCTCCTTAGCTCAGTCATATTGACCAAAGGGCCTCAGGTGAGGTGCACATGCAAATATAGCTGGTCCTGGTAGGTCCCCTACCAACAAAGTAAGAAAGCTCACAACAAGCTCTTGCTGCTCCTGCCACAGCGGCATAAAATGAGGAACTCAAGTTCCCTGTGGCTCACAGGGTTTAAATCCCGGTGGGCAGCTCTGTTCCCTCCCCCACCCCACAACTTGCCTACCTTGCTCTCCCCCAGCCAAACACATCACACCCCACCAAGGGCTGCCCCCTCCCCCACCTCTCCAACGTAGATGCCTACATCGTCCTCGTCATCAGTTCGGTAACAAACCATCAGGCCCAGCTTGTCCCTGTGACTGGATTTGTACAGTTCCACCTCCTGTGGAGACAGAGAAACCACCAGACAAAGGTCACACATAGTCACAATCCATCATCACCTCCGCCACCGCCCTTAGAGAAGGAAAGTTTAGAAGAGCTGACGGAGCACTCTAGACTATCCACGTAGAAATTCATAGATAAAATATGGAGTCCTCTTCTTTGGCCCTGTTTTTCCACATTTGCACTCAAAGTCAGCAAAGGCAAATAGTCTATAGACCTTTTACGAGGATTTAAAATATGGAGTCCTCTTCTTTGGCCCTGCTTTTCCACATTTACACTCAAAGTCAGCAAAGGCAAATAGTCGATAGACCTTTTACGAGGATTATTATTATTATTGTGTTTTCGGGCTCTTTGGCCGAAAAACCCACAACCACCACTAGATCCCGGTCATGAAAGCCTTCGCGAATACATCATTATTGTTGTTTGCCATTTACTAGGGATGTGTGTATGTTTTTCTGCTAAATGGTAAAGTGGGATCAGATGTAACTGCCTTAAGACCACTTTGCAATGAAAGTCCATCATTTGACAGCGTGGATTATGAGTTGTCCTACTTTCTTAGCAACTTGGGTCACAGCTTCCCATTGTTTTTAATTGTTTTGTTTTTGGTATTTGTTTTCGACCGCAACTTACACAAATCCTCAGCCACCCATGCTGGTTGAGGCTTTCTGGGAGCTGTGGTCCTAGAAAGGAATTTATCCTGTTGTGAAAAAAAAATCCATGTAAGGCTGATGACATAATCAACCGTAATGATATATTTATTTATTGGGAATAAAGTGTTCCTGGTTTCTTCTCTGAAGTCCCCATGGAATATCTTTTGTCATTAGTAAGTTGTGGGAGGAAGTCTTTAATTATTGAAAATCACTGCTGCTGGGATGACTTTACCAGCATTGGCAATGATTTCAAGTACTGTAATTAAAGACTTCCCTTCTATCCTGCCATCTCCAATGGCTTCCTAATGACAAAAGAGATTCCACAGGAACCTTTGGACATTTGTGTATCTAGTGGGGGAATCAGAAATATTTTCTGAAGAATCGCTGCAGCTGACTACACCATCAGCCTTATGCAGCGTAACTTTCAGAATTCAGGATCTCACCCAAAATTTCCAAGCACGTGCAGTGCTGATTTTCAGAGGAATACTGTAGCGAAGTTATAGTTGTTGCATGTAGGAGAAGAACTACAAGTCTTCAAAATACAGTTTTAGAGATGGCAAGCTCTGTATTGTCCTGCCCATGGTGTTTGCAACAAATTTTTTTAGCATGTTCTCCCTGGGGACCAGCTTACCATTCTCTCTAAAGAGGCCATGCCATTCTTCTCCCTCATCTTGTTCCATATTTTCCCTTCAATGGCCACTCCATTTTCCATGGCTTCGTCTGCACTGCCTTGCTTTTGCATATGGTGGCAGTCGTGGTGGTGATTTGCTCCTTTGGATATGATTTTTGCAACCTATCCATGGGATTAGTATCTGTTGATTCACTTATCCGCTGGCTAAAAATGCTAAATAACCCACCCAATAATTATGTATTTGTATTTCCAGGGTGTATTTACTAGAACTGGCCACTAGAGGAAGCCAGAAACCATGCCACATACAGCATTTGATACAGTACTTACATGTTTTTCAGCATCCACGGGGGGCAGGGCTTGAAACCAATCCCCCCCGCGGATACCACAGTCTTACTATACTGTAAAAACACAATGCATTAAGTCGGCCATTCCCAATGGGAGCCATATGGTCCCCTGGGGAGCCCTGGCACGTTTGAAGGGGGCCAAAGGCTAGAAACAATTCTTAACATCCCACCTTATAGAGTTCATTATGCGACTTACACAATGCTGATTCTGCCTATATTTCATATTGTGTTTATGACCATGGCCAAAAGCAGGTTAAAAATGGCTGCATTAAGGGAAGCAATGTTCTGCTTGTTTATGCTTTCATGGCACCTAAAACTGCCCACTCCATGTGGTTTCCCTTACTGTGTGTGCCCCATGCTTGGCCTATCTCCATCATTTTCTCACCTCATATTCCAACTCTTCTGCACGCTCAGTCTCTGGAGCACCTCCTTCCATGAATTCCACAGGGTCATAATATTCATGGCCTATTGCAGGGCTGTAAGCAAGAGGAAACATAAGGCAATTGGCCAAAAAGCCTCCCTTGGCCATTACTAACTCTCCCTCCCTTAGGACTCCAGCCATGCATGCACAAATTCAATAAATCCTAGTTACATTTGAAAACTTTAACCTAGAACCTAAACAAATGTATCTTGCCATGGTATCTTGAGGTAAAAGGTATTTTCCTTAATACGCCCTTGTACCCTGTTGTTATGTCCAAAATAAAGAGGAAACTAGCTCAAAATAGACATTTGGGGAAACATAGTTGCCAGCTGTAGAGAAAAAAAATGGTCTGTTCTGCTTGTGTCTCTTAACAACACAAGCGTAAAAACTGGGTGAGCCTCACATCATGCATTGAGAGAAACATTATCACCTCTGATTTTCCCATCAAGCTGCCGTTACATGTACAGCTGCAGTGGTTAGTTGAAAACCGGCAAGCCAAAAAGGACAGAGGAAATTACTTTTTTGAAATATAGCACCGGACATTTACCACTCCATTGCCACCGTTCATGTTGAGTGGAAGAGCTGCAGTCCAAAAATAACATTTCCAGGCTCTGGGACAGAAGAGACTACAAATTAAAATGAAAGGAACGAAGAGTGAATGGAGAAGATTTTCCTCAGGGGGAAAAAAAACTCACAGATCCGGCAGCCCATAGGGTTCCAGGGTCACAGCTGGGGGACTTGGAGGCCGCATCCTTCCCAGCCCTAATAGGTGTTCAAAGGTGATGTCTGTCTGAGTCCCGTTGTCTACCAGCGTGGTGGGATCATTCTGGGGGGCAGCACCTTCACTTCCACCACCTCGGCTGCGGGGACTGCGCCGTAGCACCTGGATCACCAGTGGCTCCTTAGAACACCGAAGGGCTTCCAGGGTCTGCTCCTGTGAGAGGCGGGACAATTCCCGACCATTCACCTGCAGGAGGTGGAAGCAAGGGGGGGGGAAATGGGAAGCAAGGAAACAGATTTCTGACGCCAGGTTCCTGTTCTTCTTCTTGTCTCCTCCACTGAAAACTATTAAAAAAAAAACACAACACCACCCATCACAGATATTGTCACCCCTGAGTGGCTTCCTCTGAAGAGAAAGGGAGGAAGCGCAATGGGTTCTGCACCTTCCTCAACTCTTCGTTCCCAACTTTTGCTTCATGCACGCTGTTCTAAGCAAAACCTCCCATGGTCGAGAATGATCTCTTATGTCTGTCGTAGCCATGAAGCTTTTCTCCTCTTTCACTGAGGAGTGACACATTTGCTTCGCACAACTGGGCGTAGATACAATGAAAGAATACAAACTGTTCATTTTTGAGTTTATTAATGTTGTGTCTTTATTTCCAGGGAAAGGTGCTTGTGGGATTTTATCTTGTGTTCCACAGCAAGTTGGTTATCATGGGGGACTGTGTTGTGTGCGTGCAGAGCTGCCATTTAATACTCTGTCTCAAGCAATAACATGTCTTATGTCAGCCTTAACTATGACACCTTAAGGAAGCGCTTGTTAGTTATGTACCATCAAGTAGGAACTGACTTATAGTAACCCTAATACTGTAGAACTTTCCAGTAACTGAAGTATTTAAGGAGTGGATTTACCAGTTCCACTCCCCCAGTGAGTTTCCATGGCTGAAGGGAGAATTCAAACTCTGGTCTCCAGAGCCCTAATCCATGACTCTATCCATTACACCACTCTGGGGTACCAAGCCCTTCCTTGGTTATATAAAAAGGTAAAGGTAAAGGTTCCCCTTGACAATTTTTGTCCAGTCGTGTTCGACTCTAGGGGGCGGTGCTCATCCCCATTTCCAAGCCACAGAGCCAGCGTTTTGTCGGAAGACAATCTTCCATGGTCACGTGGCCAGTGTGACTTAGACACGGAACACTGTTTCCTTCCCACGAAGGTGGTCCCTATTTATCTACTTGCATTTGCATGCTTTCCAACCGCTAGGTTGGCAGGAGCTGAGACAAGTGACGGGAGCTCACTCCATCGTGTGGATTCGATCTTACGACTGCTTGGTCTTCTGACCCTGCAGCACAGGCTTCTGCAGTTTAGCCCACAGCGCCACCACGTCCCCTTGGTTATATACTTTTCCCTATTCTCCCGGCTGTATACAATTCTTCTCTGTCCAATTAGTGTTCCATACACCCGAATGACTAGCCAGTCCCTCAGGCAAACATGTGTTCCTTTACAGAGCCATGAAAGAAGCACTATGACAGCACAGTGAACTATCAGACTTGGGCATTGAGAAAGTGGTGTTGTCTTGAGACTTATTTTAAACACACTGTGGTAAAGAGATAATGTTTTAATAATTTTAATTATAAAGAGAAATGGTTTATCCAAAGTGCAGTTTCCATGTGGATATTCCAGGAGCCACTAATTCCGGTCTTGCACCATAGAAATTACTTGCACAATGTCCCACCACACATGCGCGCCCACATTCATTTTTGCTGAAATTTGTGCGCTCTTTTGAGTTCAACCAAGATACAATTTGCCTGTCTGGAAATAATGCATCAAATTTGCCACTTACAAAGATATATTGTACATGAAAGATTACTGTTTATTTAAGTTGCTTCACATTGTTTCAAAAATTTGAACATATAAGATTGCTGCCTGAAACTGGGCCCCACTCTTCCACAATACACCAGACTACAATAAATGTCCATCTTGATATTTTTCATTTTTTGGTGTTCCCTCACCACTTTATTTCCTATGGCAAAAAAAAATCACCAACAAAGAAAAGTGGGTAAACATCACAATTTCTACTTGTTCTGCACAGAACTCCCAAAATTCAGGCAGTCCTTAAATGGTATGAACCAGTGCCACCCTAGCCCTTTGTGTATGCCAACCTATGCTTCCTCCTTCCCTCTTGCAGCAGGAAGCCCAGTATAGCACATACTGAACAATGCCTTTTAATCCTCACCACAGCCCCTTGGGGCAGGCCTAGTTTTCACAAAGCTGATAAACCTTTTTGAGGTTTAAACTACTTAAAACTACAGAGGAGAGGTGTGTGTAGTTGTTTAATTTAATTCTGCTTCATTAGAAACACATTAGAAACCCTTCAAAACTAGCAAGTCAGAGAAATGGCTAAATCACTGCTCTATCAGCTGTACCAACTGGGTCCCTTTTAAGGAGAAAGGTGGGGTAAAAATAATTTAAATAAACAAATGGCATCATCCATGAGACAAAAATAAAAATAAAATAAAGCTTCAAATTCTTCAGCTAACGTCATACTTGGCTGATTTTTGGGAAAAAATATAACTGTTTTCTTTGCCTGCTAGACATCTTATTGAAGCATTAAGACAGACACACTATTTTAATGCCAAACAATGGCCAGTTGCAGGCTTGATGGTGCAGCTGTCAAAGGCACAGGAGCCCTGCCAGAAACTATGACAGAACTAATAGCCATGCCTAGGGTTGCCAACACTTTTCTGGAAAAGTTTCTGTGTCTGATTTTAAAGCTTATATCTGTCCTGTCATTGCAGCACAATGAAAAAATTCTGCTTTTTGAAACCTGAATCTTGAAATGACATCCCCTGTTTAAATTTCTAGGAGGAGAGATGTGTTTGTTGCAGCAAAAACAACAGAGATTCTAAAAGACTCACTAGTTTTATTTGCCACATTAAATAAAACTAATCACTATTTGTCTGCCACACTTATTTCCCAACCATCTTGGCTTATGTTTCTTATTTGTCTATTGCTGTATCAGATCAGGCTTTATAAGCAGGGCTCCCCAGATAAGTGGGCTGGGGTGCAACTGGGGCACTGGCCCCATCAAGCAAGGGCACCAGTGTCTCCAGCTCCACAGAATACCTTTTCAACTTGCCTAATCATGCCACGTTGCTCCCTGGAGACCCCTACACATCGTAGAGGACAGGAGCAGGTCCTCAACAGCATATATATCTTGGTTCCATAAACCCTCTGGACAGCCCCTGTCTGCTAAGCAGCTAAATGCTGAATGATGTGCACATTGCTGAGATTAATTTAAAAAAGAAAGGTGGGAAAATTCTGCCACCAAACTTGGCTAAAGGTCTGGTGGGAGACAAGAACCAAACAACAGGCCTGCTAGGCAAGGGCTACAGTTTGCCCAAAATGCAGTTGTGTACCATATGCCTGGAGCCTCTGAGAAAACTGAACATCTGCTTCACAGTTAACATTATGACCAACAGCTGCTGGTCATTCTCACCATCATGAATGTGTCTAATCTTAGGCCTGGATTACTAAAGGCAAGGTAGAAAGGAAACCGCAGGAGTCTGAGGTGAGTGAGTAATCTCCACACATTTAACCTAGTATTGGGTCCAGGGGTTGCTTCTGGTCCACACTGAGGGGTGGGGGTTTGAGATGTCCCGCTCCTGCTCAGACCAGAGGCCATTCTACCACTTCATTGGGTTCCACATGGAAACCAGGCCTCCACCAGAAGCCATCACGACGTGGTCTTGTTGCAATGCATGCTAGAATTGAAATGTGCTCTATTTGCTCCTCTTGAGTCTCTTGACATTGCATTTTAGTGTGTAAACTTCTAAAGTTATGAGGAAAAAAGCAACATTTCTCCCTCTACTTTCTCCACACTCAAAAGGTCCAGTACTGTTGTGTAATCTTTGCTTAAACCAAAAAAGTCCTGAGTACTTTCCTCATAGAAAAGTTTTCCCAATCCCTTGATCATCTCAATTATCTGTGTCCTACAGTTCTCCTGTCTTGAATCGGTGGCTGGCAGGCTTCACAATGGGTGACCTACGTAGAACATCAAATCCAGCCCATGAGCCAGGCATGGTGACCCACCAATGGCTTAGTAAACATATTGGTTTTATTGCCTAACACTACAGAAGTGTGTCAACAGGAAGGATCAAACATGTGGATAGACTGACACACATCATCAAAAAAGAGAACAAAACTGGACTAGAGAGTACACACACACAAATGCCAAATCTGAAGTGATTTTATAACAGGGAAGACTCTAACCCACTGAGTCTGCTGACCAGGTCCTGCTAGTATGGATGGGCAACTTCAAGGTCCCTAATTTCCCTCTTTATTCTTCTTTATTTTTAAACCAGACAAGTCTAAACAGTTCTTCAAATAGACGATTGTCCTCTGGCAGCCCTGCAAAAAACAAAGACCGTCCTCTACAAAACAGAACACACACTCACCTTACCCCTGGAAAGTCATAATACTGTACATCATTGGCAAGGAATAGTAGGCTTGAAAAAATCATAGGGAGATGGGAAGCCACCATATTGAGTCAGACCATTGATCCATCTAGCTCAATATTTGTTTAGCCTGACTGGCAGTGGTTCTTTAGGGTTGCAGCCAAAGGTCTCTCCAACCTTATCTGGGATTGATTTGGGGACTTGCAAACATGTGCTTGAGAGATGCTTTTTACCACCACTGGCTTGTCATAAAGCAAGGGAGGATGCCTTACTTCCTCGCCCTGCAGTAGCAAGATAAGGTGCACCCTACTCAGAGCATAGACTGCCATTACTTTGTACCAATGTTTCCCTGCGATATGTTACTGCAAGGGAGAGATGGGTGTGCTCTAAGACCATGCTCTTCATTCACATAGGGTACAACAGTAAGCCCCAACTTCCCTCTGTGGTATCCTGTTCAAACTCTGTGTGTACATCTAATGGGGTGGGTAAACTGTGTCCCTCCAGATGTTGCTGGACTCAAAATCCTATAATTGCTCAGCACCAGCCATACCAGTTGGGCAGAGACAATTTGGGGGGACCAACATTGTTTGATGGGCCACAGGTAGGTTGGCTGTCTCTGAAGTGATTCAGAAGCTCTTACAATGTGCGGGCTTTACATGGCAGATAAGACAGTAGGAACAGATCCCTCTGATGCAGGGGTGGGAGTGGGGGAACTGGCTTGCATGATCCCTGCGTCCCAGGATAAAAGACAGAAAATCAAGTAGTCCTGATTTAGCCAGGGAATGCTGATTCCCCGCTTACTTCAAATTTGATCAGCCCCACAAGAATGCAAACAAATCCACCTTCTATATAGAGATTGCATCAGAAGTTGCCACAGTGCTATCCCCCTG